ATAGGGTTAACAAAAAAAAAAAAAACAAAAAATTACGAATTATAGAAATTCAAAAAAAAAAAAAAAAACAATTCGATCATGGATTACAAAAAAATCGAATCAAGTATTACAAAAAAATCTTTACATAAAATTAAACAAAAAAAAAAAAAAAAAAAAAAAAAAAAAAAAAAAACGTAAACGGGACTCGCCGATTCCGTACAGTGAATCGGCGAGTCACAGTGCAGAATCGTCCGGTTCTCTCTAGAACCGGACGATTCCCATTTTTTTCGCCGATTCAATTTGTCCATGGCGATTCTCGAGTCGAACCGGGCGAGTCCGGTTCAACTCAACGTTTTTTTAAACACTGGTTTAAAGGAAAATTTTAGTAATTATTTATTTTGTTACGCTAGATTAAAAGAGTGTTGTTTATGTAAGGTTGAAACCTTAAACATTCACAGTAAGTTGCTCGTCCAAACTTTGTCATATGATATAATTTTAGTGTAAAAATTCTTAGGGTGGCCTGAAAAATATATTAATCTCTAAAATAAAATTTTAAACTCCAAAAGGATTCCAATCAAATAGATCTATAAATGGTTTAAATCAGCAGATTTATAGATGTATAAACTCGGTCATACGACACAGTCCAAGTCCATACCCTCTTTTTCTTCTTTAAAAAACAAGATATACACCCACGCATATTATGGGGAATGATCACATATTAATGTGTTATACTAATATAATGAAGGCACACTTCTAGAAAACCATATTGGTGGCATTTTTGTGATCCAAAAAATTGAATACATCCTTTCTTCGCCCCAACAATCATCATCATCATGAGAGCATTTTCCTAACTATTTGGGGTTGACTACCTCTTCATCCTATAAATCAATTTGGAAAACAAAATTCAATTTGCATGCTATATATGGTCAAAATGAGTTGCATCAAATAATGAATCTAGGCCATCTATTTGCTGAATTTCAAGATCCAAGATTTATAAACTCAAAATGACTTCTTTCTTTTTTTAAACATTATTTCTCTAATGATAATAAAGCCCTCGAATAATTGGAAAAGGAAAAACATATTTCTAAAGCCAAGATCTAAGCATCACACCAAAATGAACAGCCTATTAGGCTGAAATAAACACTTTTTAGAAAGTGTGTTCCTAAATTTTGTTATTGATTTTGTGATTGTTCATTAGAATGTAAAGAGTGTATATTTAAAAATTGGGTTAAAGGCAATGGCCCTAACATGTTTTTTGAAGATTGTATCATTATATTACTATAAAACCTTTGCTTGAAATCATTCCCCATTACATAAAAGGTGCGGTTCGTATAGTAGGCTCTAAACAATCAAATTAGAGCCTACCTTCAAATAGTGTCGAGAAATGTAGTTTTAATATTGGAAATCTTTGTGAAAGCCTTAAAATATATTTTCATCTTTATTTATAAATTTTAAAGCTTAAAAAATAATGTAGATCGACAGATCTATGAAACTCTTGAAAATTGACGGTCCAAAAATGTGTTACAAAATACGCAATTTCCAAAACTTGAAATCCATTTTTTTTTTATATCCATGCATCTTGATGTCAAGATGATCAATTTGAGGATATTTGAGCTTCAAAACAACCTCTTCTAGGGAAAATTTAAGGTACATTCTAATTTGAATTGTTTAGAGTCTCGGCTCTATATAAACTTTTCCCTTATATAAATATACTAGAATTATATTATTGAATTTTATAATCTTTAAGTATTTTTTTTTTCTTTTATAACTTATTACATTGCAAGCACATAATCCACTAGAAAGGATAAAAATTATATTATGACTGATTGAATAGTATTAGGCCAATCATTCATATCAGAACATAAGTAGATAAATGGCCGATAAGAATCAAGTAATTTGTCTTTATGTATTCCCTTTTTAATTTTTCATATGCATGGGTCAGATGAGTCGCGTGCCCTCAATTTTTGAGGTAGTTCATATTTATAAAAGGAAAAAGTTTATATAGAGCCTAGACTCTAAATAAATCAACTTAGAGCCTACCTCAAAAATTTCATTAGAAGAGGTTGTTTTGATGCCCAAATATCTTCAAATTGATCATCTCGACATCAAGATGCATGGACTTGAGAAAAAAATGAATTTCAACTTTTGGAAATAATGCATCTTGTAACCCATTTTTAGACCGTCAATTTTTAAGTCATTCAAGTTTTCATAGATCTACTCAATATACACTATTTTTTAAACTTTAAATTTTATAATTAAATATAAAAATATATTTGAAGGCTAGTAAAAAAATTTCCAGTATTTAAACCACATTTCTAGACACTATTTGAAGGTGGGGCTCTAATTTGATTGTTTAGAGCCTCGGCTCTACACAAACCACACCCTTTATAAAAATATATAAATGAAGTGGCTATTAGATCCAGTCAAATTCAATTTAGAGTTTTAGATTATTGGACTCACACTTTCCATGAGCTCACATGCTCGGATTATCTTTTTCACTCTAGATTCAAACAAATGATGGGTAAAAATGGACTGAGAACAAATAAGTAAATAAAATATAAAGATGAGATAATAATTATGAACAATGTTTCAAAACCCAGTGATTTGGACTGAGAATTACTGAACTATACCAAATATCAACCAGGACCGAACCGGTTCCAAAAAGTTAGACATCATGGCCTAGTCTCCCCTCATAGAACCTCCCTTTTATTTTTTTTTCATCCTTTTTTTTATTATTAAAGCTTATCCAATATTTGTTTAGGTTCCCCAATCCCCCTGGGGTGATTTTAATTTCTTATTTTTCAATATTTTCAGATCGCTGATTCAGATCAATCAAACACAGATATGCGGATTAGATGATCCACTCCACCGAAGCACTAATTGGGAATGTTGCATATATTTACTATTCAATTGAATGGAAGAAATTTCTCCAAAATTTAAAATCGAATTTGTGAAAATTTGGAAAATAAAAACTAAATTAAGCCGATCTTAATCTGGTTAACATTTGTCTTTTGTGATTCTGTTTTGCTTCGTATGCCCGAAGGCCGAGTCAGCATACCTTGCCCACTAGATCAACGAACATTGCGAAATTTAAACATGTAAGTTGAAAAGTTACAATTTTTATGTTCCAAAGCTTTTATTTTTAAGATAGTTGTAGAAAATATCTCTATTTTTTCAACAATCCAAATAATACCTAAAAATTTTAAAATCTACATCCTTACCCATTAAGTCACAATTTTCCTTTTGTTTTTTTTTCTTCTTGAAATATTTTTCACGAACCTATTAGGTCCATGATGCTTTATCAAGGAACTCTCATCCCAATCTTTATTCCATAAGGCGAACTCTCTTCCCAATCTTTATTGATGGCAAGGCCTTAAAAAGACCGTTACGGTTACGGTTCTGATGGGACCGTGATGATCAAAGGGCTTATTCATAGACCATGGGTTTATTTATAGACCATGATGGTCTTAATAGAACCGTGGTGGTCATTCGATACACAATACACCATTACGGTCCGAGCAGGCCATGAAACCATTACGGTTCGAGTAAGGCATGAAAAGTGAGAATCACGGCTCGCTTTGTTAGAGCCTTGATGTTTCCTTGTGGTTTTTGGGCCATCACGATTCTATTAAAACTATGATGGTCTAATATGCCCTTTTGAAAACTGTGATGGTCTAATAAGCCATTTGACATCGTGACTGTGGCCTTGGCTACTAAGACAACTATGATGGTCTAATATGCCCTTTTGAAAACTGTGATGGTCTAATAAGCCCTTTGACATCGTGACTGTGGCCTTGGCTACTAAGACAACTATGATGGTCTAATATGCCCTTTTGAAAACTGTGATGGTCTAATAAGCCCTTTGACATCGTGACTAGTGGCCTTGGCTACTAAGACAGATTTGGGTGGTAAATACATGCTTGATTTGCAATTTTCGATGAGTTATGAGGTGAAAATTTATTTATTTAGATACGCATACAGCCTTATCAAATTATTTTTTTTTTATTTTTCTGTTTTCTTTTTATTTTTCAAAGAATTGTATACAATGAGACCCTTCACTTTTTGAATAAAGAGATGACAATTACTTACAACTATACGGTGTGGAATTTGATGGTGTGGAATTTGATAGTTTGGGTGTACTATAAAATTCGGAAAAATTTATTTTAATATTTAAACTTGATCAATGGAATAAATACATTCATCTAATTTCACATTCAATGTTTTATTATGTGATCACCTTGCTCTCTATTAAATAAAAAAGTCTAGGATTATTGTACACTTGGTTTTCTTCACTATAAAAATTTGCGTTAAGATCTATTTTATTGTAACAACGTGCACTTTAAACATCAATCTAACTATAAAATAAATAAATAGATAAAAAACACTGTGACATGAGAGAGGTTCTCAATATTAATGTATTTCTAGTGAAATAATGAAAAATTATGGTGCTCAGTGAGAGAGGTTGAAGGAGAGAGAATTATTGATCCATTGCTTCCAGTTAGTGGCGTGCCCTTTGACCATTCCTCCTCTTCTTCCTTGTTGTTTATGCTGTTCACCGAAGTAGTATTCCTCCTACTTCTTTTTGTAGAGCAGAAAGTTCCTCCCTCCAGTCCTACCGATGGGCACCACTGGACTCAGAGCTGCATTTCAATTCACCCATTAAAACCTTTGCATGTAGAGTGTGTGGGTTTAATCAGTATATATGGAACAAAAGCAATGAAAGTGAAAGGGAAATAGCATTAAGAAACCAGTCACTCATTTGATGGGGAATGATAAGGAGGCATAATAATCTGATCGAGAGAGAGTAATTAAAATGGGGTAGAGAAATATCAATAATAAGAAGTAGACAAATAATTAGATGCAGATAGAGAGAGAGTAAAACTGATCCCGATTAAAAGAAAAAAAAAGAAAAAATGTAATAAAATAAGTGTGGAGTCCCATCCTACATTGCCTAATGCTTAGGGGTTATCTACAATTTGTAGAGAGAGAGAGAGAGAGAGAGAGAAAAAAATATAGGGGAAGAAGTATAGAAGATCTTAGCAAATAGAGATAGAAATAAAATAGCAAACATGCAACTGGAATTAATCGATAAGGGAATTCATGAAGAGAGAGGCACCAAACCTATGAAGTCAGAATTGGCGCAGTAGAGGAAGAAGTCGTCGGAATTATTGCCGAGGACAGGGAGTCTACCCTGACGAGCGTAAGATCGAAGCGCAGTCTGAATAACAGTGAAAACTGTGTCATCGACCCTCACAAGAAATCGCAGGGGGCACGAGAGCAGGTGGCCTGTGCTCTCGTGAATGTTTATGCTGATAAGCATGAGATCTGCAACCTCCTGCAGCAAGAAACCCAATTAGAACAACCTTTCTGAACAGGGCAAAGGAAAGGAAAAACAATTCCAATAACAAAACATTAGCAGAAAAAATAAAAGTGCAAAGGGAGAGAAGAAAGAGAAAGAAACAGGGAACCAAAGAAATGGAGAGGGATCAGAGAGAAGCCAGGGAAAGGACAAGAAAATAAAAAAAACAAATGAAAAAAGAGAAAGAGATTTTACCTTTTTCTTTTTGAAGAATGCATGGAATACATCAAGAGACCTCAATAGACCCCACTTCTTCACACGTTTAACGCGCATGGGTTTCTTCCAGACATTCACCTGGTTCGAGGGCTGAGAAACCGCCATTTTTAGAGAGGGAAACAGGAGGAGGCGCAGAATCTAGAGAGAGGAACTAATTTGGGGCAATTCAATTAAAGGTCGAAATTCAAGGGATCGAGGCCAGGGCAAAGAATTGGGGCAATTCAATTTAAGGTCAGTGAAATAAATTCAAGGGATCGAGGCCAGGGCAAGGAATTGGGGCAATTCAATTTAAGGTCAGTGAAATAAATTCAAGGGATCGAGGCCAAGGCAGCGGTAATACCAGCCCTTGTTGCATGAGGCAAACGATTCAAGCCTGGAGAGACATGGAATAAGGGGCCACTGCGCCGTTTGCTCGTGGGCTTTTGCCCTAACACGTCTAAAGAGAGGAAGGGGCACCATCAACAGTACACCCACATACACCATTCACAAAAGGATCGGCAACAACGACGAACACTGAGAACGTGGAATGGGGGATGAGGAGAGAGCAGGAGATAAATAGATAAGAGGAAGAGAATGCAACAGGGTTTTATTCCTTTTATATCTGTGAGGGAGGAGGCTTGGTAGTCCAGCGGGACTGGAAACCTATTTATGATGTCAACACGTGGCCCCATCTCCGCCGATGTACCGACGCGCAAACTCATCTCGCTTTCGAGAGGATATACGTTTGGTCATTGAAACCCTCCATTTTATTTTATTTATTGTTAATATTTATCTAACGTTTTCTCCCTTGTAAATTTTCGCTCCATAAATTATTATTTTAAATTAGAGTAGCAATTATAAGAGACCCTATGTAGTATCTTAAATGATCACTACTAATTTTAACACATATCTTTAAAAAAGTCAAACCCCACACCGTGTGATAACTTTTTTTAGAGATTTGTATATAATTTAATGGTGATTTTTTGGACTTCTACACACATGGGTGTAAGAGAGTTTCGTATGATTATTACTCTTTAAATTATCATTACTTTTTATTTATTTTTAATATTATTTTATCATCAATTCAAATCTTATTTGCATTGCTGATAATGAGCCGACAGCGATATGTGGGTGAACAAATCACCACGTTCTCAACTAGTGCTCTCAATGTTATTGAAAAATTGGATTGGTGACCTAGATGAGCCATAATAGAAATCGATCCTGACCAGCTGATTGACGATCCAGATCGGTGGATTGGTCTAATACGCTTCATAAATTACTAAAATTTATTAAAAATATATATTTTAAGTTTCTAGAAAAATAGAGGTATCACATTATAGATTTTCAATAGTTTACTTTAAAATATGTTAGAACATGTTCGGAATTTGAATGTTGTTGGCCATTACATTTATTTTGTAGACAAAATGAAGTTTAAAATGCAACTCACTGCAATAAAATAGATCCCTCTAAATCAAAGTTTTTTTTGTTGTATGAATTATTTTCATTTCATATTTTATTAATATTTTATTTATCTAGAGGTATTGTATTTAACTTTATCTCTCTAAAAGTATGTATGTTTGGGTGCGGTTTGTATAGAGCCTTGGCTCTAAAGAATCAAATTAGAGCCTACCTTCAAATAGTGTCTATAAATGTGGTTTCAACACTGAAAATCTTTGTGATAGCTTTAAAGTATATTTTCATCTTTAATTATAAAATTTAAAGCTTCAAAACTGGTGTAGATCCAGCAGATCTATGAGAACTTGAAAATTTTGAAATTGACGGTCAAAAAATACGTTATAAGATGCACTATTTCCAAAACTTGAAATCTATTTTTTTCTCATGTCCATGCATCGTGATGTCAGGATGATCAATTTGAGGATATTTGGGCATCAAAATAACCTCTTCTAGTGAAATTTTTGAGGTAGGCTCTTATTTGATTGTTTAGAGCCTTGACTCTATATAAAACTTTTCCATATTTAATGGCTCATTCAACAAACCATGAATAAATGAGAGCGAAGAGAGAAGTAATCATGAAGAGGGTAAGAGTTCTATATATACAAAAAAAGCTTGTGTAGGCGCACTAACCTACAACTATATATGAGCCCAACCTCATCTTACATTTTAATTTAAGTTTTTTGCCTACAAATCCAAATGACATGAAAGTTTAGATGTCTATTATTCTCATCAAGGCTTATATAATAAAACTATTAAAAAATAATTTGTAAAATATAAATTAATCAAAATATCCCTAAAAAGTTTTAGGCTTATTTTGGTCACTTAATTTATTATATTTTTTTTTTTTGATATTTTTATTAGATTCTCCTATTTTTAAAGAACACGTGCTCAAAATTTAAAGTGATTTAAATTTATAAAAAAAAAAAAAATTCAAATACGAAATGTAATTATAATAATTAGATCAGCCCATATTCAATATGGGCTATTGGGCTTATATGAAGTTGTAAACTAATGGGTCTACGCCAGCTTTTTTCACATATATATAGGAAAAAGTTTATATAAGGATGCAACCATATAATGTAGAATTACGGATGCACCTCAAAAATCCATCGGAAAAGATAGTTTTAATGTTGAAAAACCCTTTGATTGATCATCTCGACATCGAGATGTATGACCATGAAAAATAAAAAGATTTTAAGTCTAAAAAATAGTACATTTTACAACATATTATCTACACCATCCATTTTCAAGATTTGCATATGTTTATAGATCTACTTGATTTTAACCATTTTTGAAATTTAAAATTTTATAATTAGATATAAAAATAGATTTTAAGATAATCCTAAGAACATTTTACATCAAAATTATATATCATGATAAAATTTGAAGGTGCATCTTACCTCTACAGCTATAGATGGATGCATTCGTATGCCAACTGCACTCATATATATATATATATATATATATATATATTNTATATATATATATATATATATTATGAGAGACAGAGTGTAGTAGTTTGTGTACGTAAGGTAGGACGACAGTATTGAA